CCCACGCCTGCCCCTCTCCCCGCCCCCGGCCCCGAGCGCTCCGGAGGCGGGCCGGGCGTCCTCGCCGGGTCGCCTCCGGGAAGTTGGGTCGTCGGGCGGCCTGGGACACTCCGTGCCCGGCGTGCGCTCGGTGGGAGCCACAGCCCGCGGTGCCAGAGGGGTGGGCCCCTTTCCCACTCGCTCGGGTTTGAGCCCGTGGTCACCCCGCCAGGGCCGTGTTTACACTCTCACGTTCTGCCTCCCGACGGCCCGAGCCAAACTCCGGCGCTCTGGCAACACCTGCAGCAGTTGTAGTAGCAGGAGTGGCTGGCGGCGCGCGCGGCGATTGTTGTCATTGGTGTCGTGCGCCGCGGGGCTGGGCCCCCCGCTCACCTCTGGGGACCCTCACGGTGGCCCCTGCATGTTTTGACGCCCCGTCCTTTCACAGAGGTGCAAGCTGGAGTTCAGGAAAGTGGCCGACCTCCCTGCCCCAAAGTCGGTGCCAGAGCGGGGACTTGAACCCCTGTTGGTGGGATTCCACGCTGACTGGTCTGCGGTCGCTTGGCCCATATCTCCAGCACCCGCTTTAGGAGAGGTCTTTCTGTGTGTGGGTGACGGGCCTTGGTGGACCTCACACACAGTGAGCCACCAGACCCCAATTCTAGCATCCGCTTTGTTCGGTGTGGACCAGGACTCTTTTTTTTTTTTTTTTTTTTACTTACCTGGGATTTCCCACCTTGGGGTGGGGGCCGTGATATTTACCAATACTGTTGGGTGGCTTCTTCCAGTATCCCCTCGTGAGTGGGGAAGGGCCCCCAGGGGAAGGGACGTGATGGGAGTCCCTTGCTGTAGAAGAAAAGCATAGGTTTAGAAGGTGGTCAGTGGCCAGTGAGGTTTGCTGAGGGATGTCACTGCCTGATTTCCTGGCCTGGACTTCCCAGTGTACAGTCGACATTAGTGAAAAGTCGTGGTTGTTTAGTTTGGACAAGTTGTTAGATTTGTGCTTCGTGTGTGTGTGTGTGTGTGTGTGTGTGTGTGTGTGTGTGTGTTCATGTTCATGCTCCTCCGTTCCTTCCTTGTGGCTTTGATAAACAATTCGTGGATCCCTGCCTGGGCTTCCACACGGGCTTCCACATGGCAGCTTTACCCTTTTAGCCATTTACAGATTCCCATGGCGGGGGCTTTGTGTCTGTTCCTTCTGTGGTTGTGTTATCCAGGGTTTAAGTACAGAACCTGGCACCTGGTGGTGGTGGTTAGGTGCTGTCAAGGCTGTGTCAGCTCATAGACAGGGCCACTGCCCCATTGGATCTCCTGGGCTGGAACGAAGCAGATCTCCAGGTCTTTCCTCTCTCAGAGCTCCTGGGTGGGTTCAAACCCCCAACCTGCCAGTTAGCAGGGGACCTCTTAAGCACTACCCTGCCAGGGCTCCTTTGGCCCAGAGTTGGTGCTCAGGAAATGTCTTGGAGCGGGACCCCTTCACCACCAGATCGTATGGACCAACTCTTGGCAGGCTGGGGGTTTGAACCTCTGTGTTTTGCAGACGTAATCCGAGTTCATCGTCAGAAAGTGGTGGTGGTTTGGTAATTGCCCCCTGACTCAGAGTGCCCCCAGGTGTGCGGAGAAGGACTGCTCTTTAGCCTTCAAGAATTTTTGGAAGCAGAGTATCATCTAGTGCCTTTGGGTAGATTTGAACCTCTGATGTTTGGATTAATCATCATCGCTTACTCATTGCTGTCACGTTGACACTCCAGTGGCTTTTTGGAGTCTGTTGAGCACACAGGAGGAGATTGCCCATCTTTCCCCCCTCAGATCAGCTGGGTGGGGGTTAGAACCAGCTGCCTTTGGGCCAGTAGCACCACTCTTTGCTCACTAGACTACCAGCCAGAGCTCCCTAAGGTATATTGCTTCCCATCCCTTTATGCCATTGAGGACAGCTGGCCAGAGTCCCAGAGCCAGCAGGTGGCAGAGTTGAGATTAGAACCCAGAGCATTGGCTTCTCAAGCCTTGGTGGTTCGGTTCGTTCCGTGAGGAATTCCTGCTGGGCCCCCTGAGCCTCTCCCGGCCTGAGCTGGGGTAACGTTTAACAATGTCCTGTTGAATAGATGAGATGCCGCTTGACGTCTTGGGTCAGAGTAGCCATCTTTCCAGGCCATTGGTCTCTGTTGTTGTGAGGGGCTGTGGAGTTGATTCTAACCTGTAGGGACCCCAGGTGACAGAGTCGAGCCGCCCCATGAGTCTCCCAGAGTCTTTAAAGTCGAGGGTCAGATCAGAGTGAGAGAGGAACACCCCAGCACGATGACTGACGCAGTGACTGCAACAAAGAGCTTACACGTAGCAGCAGTCAGGAGGTTGGCGCAGCACTGGACGGTGTCCTGTTCTGTGGTGCAGGGGTGCTAGGAGTCACCTGACTACTAACAACACTGTTCTTAATCTCAGAGACAGAAAGTTGCCAGGCCTTTCCTCCCAGAAGCCTTTGGTGGGTTTGAACCACTGACCTCTTGGCACTTACCCATTGTGCCGTCAATGCCCCTCCATTAACCCTGATGTCCACCAGTCTGGCATACTGACTGTACGGGCAGAGGGCAATTGGTGAAGGCTGGGGGTGGGGGTGGGGTTCCTGAGGGCTGTGCTGCCCCGGCCAGGCTCCATGGCGTCTCCCTTTCTGGATGGACTGTGTCAAGGGCTGCCTTTTCTGTTCCCGTGTGGGTTGAATGGTTCTGGGTCTGGGTCCTGGGTCTCTCATCAGCATTGCAGCATTTGAGGGTGAAAGTGGTAAGGGATTAACTACCACCAGTCTGCTGAGTTTACAGAGTGGAATTCATTGTCCATTCCAAACGTGTGATGCGTACTTCCACCACCAGTTGCCTCTTATTTCACAGACACTCCTATTTCTTGAGATAGCCAGGCAATATTTCCTTTTTTTTATTATTAATGATTTTTTTAAATGCAACATATATATTTTTACAGCATATTCTTTCCATTTAATTTTCCCCCATTCATTCATTGTTGCATATTTTCCTCCCTGCCCACTCCTCTCCCCCCAGTTCATTTTTCTCTTTGAAAAGAAAAAAAAATTCTTTCATTGTGATACAATCCCCTCCCAAGTCCACAGTCCACTTTACTATGCACTTCTTTTACTGTAATCTTGTCATGAACATAATACCTAATCCTATGTTACTTTTAAATAGTTCTCACCCTCATCTGTTTCATTGTTGTATACATTATTTATCCTCTCTTTTCTTAGGTTGCCCCAAACCCTGATGTCAGACCCATTTTACAACAGTGGCACTATGCAGTATTTGTCCTTTTGTGACCGAGATATTTAGCTCAGCATAATGTCCTCCAGGGTATAATAGTTCATCTTTGTTTTGCAGCATAGTATCCAGTGTGTGAATATACCACAGCTTCTCTATCCATTTGTTTGTTGATGGGCACTTGGGTTGATTCCAGCTCTTTGCCATTGTGAACAAAGCAACAATAAACATGTGTGTGCATATAGCTGCTTGGTGGAGTTATGGTTTCTTTAGGGTATATTCCCAGTAGTGGAATTGCTGGGTCAAATGATATCTCTATTTCCAACTTTTTGAGAAAGCGCCATACCGCCTTCCACAGTGGTTGCCCCATTTTACACTCCCACCAACAGTGAATAAGGGTTCCAGTTTCTCCACAACCTCACCAGTACTTGCTGTTTGCTGCTCTGTTGGATTTTTGCTATTCTTACTGGGGTGAGATGATATCTCACAGTTGTTTTGATGCAATATTTCTTTGGTGTGCTTGCTGCTCAGATTCTGGGGTCCCTTTCACCTCCTCAGCCACACCCTGTCCTTAGCCCAAACTTCTGCCTCTCTCCTGGAGGCCTGCCTTGTTGTTGTTGTTAAGTGCCATTGAGTCATAGATGACTCATAGCGACCCTGTGAATGAAAGACCTCAACACTTGTATAAATAACTTCCGTTGTTTCTCCAAGTTCATAGAGTTTCTGGAGGCAAGCTGTTTTGGAAGTGGATGCTGCTCCTGCTTCCAGGCTTGTTTTAATTTGGGAAGCTCCACCAAACACTGTCCATCATGGGTAACCGTTATCTCATGTGACATATCAGTGTCACAGTGTTTAGCATCACAGCAACCACGAGTTACCTCTGTACAGCAATGCACAGACCAGTGCTGTACCACCTAGAAGAATTTTTGAACAAAAACCATTTAAAACCAGGCCTAAGGGCCACAGACTAAAATCACCCATCTTTGGCTTGGTAGCATCACTTTCTATCCGTTAGGCCTGCAGAGCTCTCTCATTGTTGTTGTTAAGTGCCGTCTAGTCGTAGACGACTCATAGGGACTCTATGAAGGAAGGACCCGAACCAGGCTTCTTGTAGTGAGCCATGTGGGTTCCCCGCCTCACCCCATTTCCATTCCCTGTTTTATTGCTGTTCCAGTTGGGACCTGCTGTCACCTTGGTTGCTGACTCTTCACCATCCTACACACCACCTGGTCCTGCTCTATCCCCATGATTGTTTGCAGAACACAGCGTTGTGACCCATAGGGTTTTCTTGGGCTGATTTTTTCAGAGATGGATTGCCAGGCCTTTCTTCCTAGTCTTAGCCTAGAAGTCCCACTGAACCCTGTTTAGTCTTGTGGTGCCCCCTGACAGGGCCTGCATGTGAGGATTGTTGGCGGGGATTGCCCCTAGGTCTCCTTCTGGAGGGTGAAGATCTACTAAGCCTCCAGTCCTGCTGCCAGGGGCCTTCAGGCTGATTTGGCCTCGTAATGACCCAGTCGGGCTTCTTAGCCTGTTGTCTGTAGTAAAGCTGATCACAGAGCTGTCTCCCATGGAGCCATGGGGTGGGTGGCCTTGAACCGCCAACCTTTCAGCTAGAAGCTGAGTGCTTAGTGCCATCAGGGCTTCTCTTGAAAACAAAACCTCACTGATGTCCCACCACGTGCAGCTTCTAGAACATTCCCTGTATTGGTGTTGGTGGTTGGCATCCTGGGTCCTGAGGGTGTCGGGCAGCGTCCCTGGACTCCACGCCTCAGGTGCTGGGAGCCTTCCTTCTCCCTAGCTGTGAAAACCGGAGCTCTGCAGATGTTGCCAGCTGTCCGGGGTGGGGGTGGGAGAGGAGATAGCCTTGGCCTTGTCTGAACCTCTGGTCACCTGGGCCTGGCTGTCTTCTCACTCTCCGTCCTGGGGCCTCTGTCCCATCCCCCTCCCCAGAGTCTTTCTTGTTTTCTTGTTTCAGCCCATAAACATTGAATATTCTTGAGTCCCAGACCCCTTTACCCTCCCGCTGGCCTCCAAGACCGATCTGGGTCCCCACTGACCTTACTTGGTCACCTTTTACCCAGTTCTCTGCCCATGGTGTCTTGGCTGGTGTCCTCACACCTCGCTGTGGCTGTCAGCGAAGGTAATCCCTCACCTCCTGAAGCATCGTCTGCGGCCTCACCTCACTCGACCCCGAGGGCTGTGGCACTACCCACTGTCCTGCTGGAAGCAGTTTCTTACTGGCTCCGGTGTCCACCCATGTTCTCAAGGTGTCCCTGTTGTATTCTGGGTCAGTGTGGTGGGCAGTATCGTCCAGCTGGTCCCTAGTGCCTGACGTCTCTATGTGAGTCTGCACAGAATTTCTCCAGAGTACGCTCACCTCTGGTTATTAACAGATATTTTCCAGGCCTTTCTTCTGGAGAGCTCCATGGGTGGGTTTGAACTGCTTTTAGTTTTAGATGGTTGCAAAATGCTTGCACTAAACATGCTTCCCACTCTGAGTTGTAACCTTCTCTAAATGTAGATGTATGCTGTAACCTGACTCTTTCATCTACAACAGAGGCCACCCAGCTCTGCCCTCAGGGGCCAGGTTCTATTCACTACCTGCTTTGGCCAATAAAGTTTTACCAGCACACAGCCACGCTCACCTTTGCTGGTTGCTTTCTCTCTACAAAGGCAGAATTGAGTGGTTTCAACAGAGCAACGCTCTAACTCATTGCTGTTAAGTAGGAACCAGCTCTCAGCTGACCCTACCTTGGGCTTCTCGGGCTTGAATAGAATGAGAGGAGATGGATTCTCTTTCTCCTGAGGAGCCAGTGGTGGATTTGAACCGCTGGAGAAGGAGGGCCTTTGGGCTAGTTTAGACTCCCTGCAGACTGTGCCACCAGAGCCCTCTGTGATTACATTAGCTGACCCTGGATCTGGAACAAACTTTATGGGGGCTCATTCTTCCTGATGTGCCTGATAGCTTATGTGGAAGATTGGGGAGGTATACATGGTCAAGGGGTCTGACTGTTAATTGAAGATTGGAGGTTTGGTGCTTGGGAAGAAAGGCCTGGCTGAAAGGAAACCCTGTGGAGCTCAGATCTACACAGGGTGACTGTGTGTTGGAGTCCATTGAAGAGCAAATGGGTCTCTTTCTCCCTCTCCCTCTCCCTCTCCCTCTCTCATTGTAAACATAGTCATGAAACCACAGGCTTTCTATCCGAATCCACCAGCTGCTCCTCTGAAGAAAGATGAACCATGTCCTTTTCTGCGATTAAACTGCCTGTAAAAACCAACTGGAAGAGCTCTCTCATTAAGGAAGCATCCGATCTAGAACATTGTAAACAGATTCACAACGGAATACACACCCCTCCCCATCCCTGCAATTTTAATTTAGTGACTTTGATTACATTCTTCAAATTGCATAACCATTTTCACTATTCTTTATGGGATTATTTCCTCACCATTAGACACAGCTCTCGCTCTCAACCCCTCCTCCTCTCCCCTGGAAACCTCATGAACCCTGCAGTTTCTATGTTTGCTGTTTCCTGTCAGGGAGAGCGGACAGTCCTTTGTGTCTAACGCGTTTTGCTCAGCATGGCGTTTTCCAGCTCACCCACCGTGTGGCATGAATCAGGACTTCGGTTCCCTTTAGGGCTGAGCGGTAGAGAGTGTGTGGTGTGTGTGTGTGTGTACACACTGTTTATCCACTATGTATTGCTAAGCAGTTCGATTGTTGCCACCTGTTGGCTATTGTGATACTTATTGTGAATACTTATCCAGTGGATGTGGGTGTACCCACAGGTATCTTTTGAAGGTTCAGCCTGGGCGGCCAGTTTTCATCAGCTTTCATGAGAGCCCACCCCCCTCAAGTTCAATGACTACAGTTAGGTGAAGCCCCTCAAGGATGCTGTGTTTTTCTTCTTAAACAGCAAAGGATGTTAAAGCGATTTACCCCTTTGGCTGTGTCTAGTTTATGGGCTCCAAGCGGGGGGGTGGGGGGGTGGGGGGGAGAAACAACCATGTTCCCTGCTGGCTGGGCGTGTGGCCTGAGGGTTTGTTTATTTAAACAACCATCTTGGCCTTGAACGTGAGTTCTGAGCCTTCAGCCTGGTAGAGCACAAAAGGAAGTGTTGTCTGCTAAGAGGTCATCTCTCCAGACCTTTTGTGTTTGTTTCCATGGAGGATACATAAGCGTGGCTTCGTTTACACCTGACAGTTAGCTCACACTGGAGAACCTGCGAAAGCAGGAACTGGACGAGGCGGGAACCTGTCAGAGATGGAGGATGCAGGCACTTCCCAGTAACCAGAGAGATAGAAAGGTGGACGGCAGCCCCCGAGGCCCCCTCCCCAGAACACGGCAGTGCCCGACACAGTGCCCGTGAAGGACCGTGAAGGCCGGCTCCCACAGACTTACTGTGGTTTGCGTTGTTAAAGGAATGAAAGGACAAGTGTTACAAGCTCATTGCAAAAATTAAACTCAGATTTGCAGAAAGAAAATCACAAGGTCTTCAACACCCTGACCCTGACCCAACGCCTTCCTGTCCTTGGTGATACGACACTGATAGATATCTCTCTAATGTTTTTAAAAAATTTACTGGAAAATTTCCCAGAAACCCCCAAAACACCATCTGTGGGGTCAAGTGTGTTGGAGATGGTGGAGTTGGCTCAGGAGAGGGTGAGGTTCAGACCTGGCACAAGGTCACTGTTGATTGTGATGGACTCAATTGCACATAACAACAACATTGTATCATCCATAGGGGGTTCCTGGTGGTCTCATCTAGAGGGTTGCTGGTGGTCTCATCTGTAGGGAGCTCCTGGTGGTCTCGACTGTAGGGGGTTCCTGGCATCTCATCTGTTAGGAGTTGCCCTGCTCACCAAAGGCCGTGCTCTCTGGCAGTTTGGCTCTACCAGTACTTCCGCAGGGGTGTGAGTTACAGCCTCTGGAGCCCAGTGGAGCGTCAACTAGGAGTTGATACTGACTTGAAGGCCGTGAGTTTTCTGGAAAATGGGCTTTCCCCCTTTCCTTGAAACACATATACTAGTTTTAACCCTTCGATCAACCTGTGTCTACTGCGTGTCTATACTGGGATAGTTTGCCTTTTCCTGAGATGCTAGAAGTTATGTCATTGGGATGCCCAAGCCCAGCAGGGTCCCTGGTGGACAGGTGCAGGGCTGGGAGGACATTCTGGCAGTCTTAACAGAGCATTGTCTGACAGGGGCCTGCACAGTGGGCCCCGAAAGGCACTCAGCATTCACAGTTATGGATTACGCCATTCGTGCAGGAATGGACAAGCCTGCCCTCTGCTATTTGTGGGGTCCTTATGAAATGGAGCTGATTCTTAACAACAAAAACCACACCTCCACACCTTGCTCCCTGGATTCGTGTCTCTGTTCTCCATTCCAATACTTTTCCCTAGGTTTAAAAAAACAACCACCAGCAAACCCCAAACATGTCTTGGATGGGATTCATATTCTTTTTTTTGGGGGGGGGGGTTCACATTCTTAAAAGGGAAATGTTTTAAAGTAAGTGGGTCTTTGCCACTCGGGTTTAAAATGCGTGAACGTGACTGCACCACCTCCCGTCTGGAAGGGTGTGGCTGGATTGCTCCATTTGCATCTGTGTACAAGCCTTTAAAGGAACCCTAAAGGTCGGTGGTTTGAATCCACCAATGGGAGTAGTCATGTGACAGGCTGCTTCTGTAGAGATTTGGGGACCCTGTTCCTCGGAAAACATGTGGGCTGTTCTGCTCTGCCCGCTGGGGCTACTTTGCATCCAGGTGAGCTGGACGGCAGCGGGTTGGGATTGACACACCCTGGATTGGGGTTGACAAGCCCTTCGGTCTTCACTTGGCCCGCTCGTAGGCTCTGCCACATCCACACCTGTGCGCCAGTGAGGGCTGCCCCAAGCATCATTGATCTTAGTGCCAACGTGTGCCTTAGCGGGGCATTGGAAGCGTACTCTGTTTTTTGATCCCCTGGATATGCCTCGTGGCTAATGGAAAGGTGGGAGGTTCTGCCAGACATACCTCGGAAGAAAGGTCTGGTGGTTTCCTGACCCGAAAATCAGCCGTTGAAAACCTGACGGGGCACCGTTCTAACCTGACCTTCACGGGGTGGCCGTGAGCTGGGGGGTATTATCTCCATGGCTGCTGGATTTTTGTCTGATTGTTTCCAGCAGGATAAGCATGGCTGTTGTGTGCTGGATAGCGAAGTTCAAGTTGGAGTTCAAGTCCAACGTGGAGGCTTGTGATTTGATAACTTTTCTGGTTGTGCACGGTACTCTCCCTCATCATGCTCCCAGAGGAGAACCCCTAGTTCATGATTTTGTTGGCTTTCATTCCATCACACACACATATATATATATATATGGCATTCATTACAGTTGATCAAGTCTGTTTATGGACCTCATCAGATCCTCATGGTACCTTTCCTTTCCCTTCCCCCCACCCAGCCAACAGCTAATCTCTGCTCCTCCTCACTCCCCTCCCCTCTTGATGTGTTACTGATGTTGCTCCCTTCTCACTTGTCTTTGTGGGCATGGTAGTATTCAAAGTACTTCCTCCAAACCGCACTTGCTGGCATTTTGGAAAGAAACCACTGCTCGGTAACAAGGGACATAGGCGATGAGCTGCCCCTCTCTGTCCGACTCCTGGCTACCAGCCTCTGTTCAGGGACGCTCCCTTCCTGAAGACCAGAGAAGGAAAGGGCTCAACTAGAAACACACCTTCCTAGTTTGTCACATTGTATCCAACCCAGACACCTGCTACTTTTTTTTACAAAGTGCTTTCTGGCCTGGCAGAACCTCTCTTGCTTTTCCTCCCTGTGTTATTAGGGAAGGGGTAGTAGTTTCTGGTTTGTGCTGGCTGGTCACTGCAAGCCTGACCCACCCAGGAGCACTACGCAAGAAGGGGCTGGCAATGACTTCTATAAAGTGCCATTAAGGGCAATCTACTGAGGGTCAGTTCTAATGACATTTAAGTCCCTGTGAATTGGGATTGAGCTAATGATACCCAGATGACAATACAGATGTTAACAGCACTAACATTCTGGATGGAGTATGAGTTCCCTTCCAACCCTGATGCTTGGTGTTGTAAAGGTGTGGCAAAATGAAGTGATTTGCTGTAGAAATGGCTCTTGACACTTTAGGGCTTCCAA